GAAACCTGACCACAGCTTCCAGGTACCAGCTATCGGTTGAGAAACTGAGGACTTTATTCCAATGAACTGGGCAGTCGACTTTGGACCAGTGAATCACTGATTAGAACCATCTACTGAAGTTTGGCCCGCCAACAAGTATTATTAACGGCCACACAATAAACACAGTTAATTGCCCAGTCCATGCGTGTATTCCGCGAAAGAGTTGAAATTCAGTTGCCAGGAAGCCTTGATCAAATTAGGTTCCTGCTTGTTAGCACTTATTAGCAAGGCCTTACTGCAACCACAGGAAACCGGTGTTCGCTTGATGATTCGAACTTGCGTCACTCAATGCTCAAGTTAAGGATTTTATCACTAAATTGTTCAGGTCAGGACTGATTTCTTGTTCGAATGGATCAAATAAACAAGTTGTTCAACAGTGAGCAACTGAAGTAACTTTCTAGTTCTTAGCACTAATTGAATTTATCGATCAACTTTTGCATGTGACCAATGGTGCACTGTATTTCGGACCTAGATGTTAGAAGTCAGTAGGAAGGCAGCCTGGAGATATGCAACTACGAAGGAACTTGTACAAACAGTAGTACGACTTTCGTTTAGGACTTGCAATTGTTATAGTATAGCACTCATTATGTGACATAACGTGTGATCTAATTAATCTTTTGGCATGGTAGCATCAAAAGCAATAGCCACTTCAACCAATCCAGCACGGATGTGTGGTCACGACTGCCACATTAAGAATATTTATTCTTTTAGAATAAAAATTGGTACAAAATGGGGACCAAGAGATACTCGAGATAAAGTAATATAATACGTGATGAAGACATAAAGGTGACCTAGAAAGGGAGGAATGAGAGGAAGAATGAATGCGAAAATGGAAACAGACCACAAAAGAAGCACCTTCATGCATACATTACAAGCATTCACTACATTTGTTTTACTCTTCGGTAAGACATGAAGAAGCAAGAAAACTACAGCATGATTGCAACTGGCTTCGATACTAAACTATATCTACTATCATCTTGACACACTGAATCGCATGACCCTTCGAAACACATCTAAGGAATCGTGAGGCACGAGCAGATGTTAATCCACACACTGATCACGTCTATGCTTATTAGAACTATTCCTAGAGAAAGCGAACAGTTCAGGAACCGCTGGCACTACATTTGTAAAGCATATTCAAACCATCAAAGAAGATTAAGATATCAGCTGAGGTAGAAAAATTAAGCAAATAATGAAGATTGAGGATTTGAAATAGCGGTTTAAGAAATCAACAATTTAACACCGGTGGAAATCGGCCCGATTCACAGTGAACACCATTCAAATAGTAGTAAGAAAGTATTTATCCTTAGGAAAACTGCTTGATAATTACACCAGGGTAAAGACCACAATTTTATTAACAATTAGCAGTGATAATAATGATATAGCGCTAAAATTGTGGTTCAAGACGATAATTATATTTACACCCCCTAGTATGGGTTTACAAAGAAAATATCAAATAAGGTGTATAGTCAAACGGGTTTCATTAGTTTTTAGAAATAGATGATAGTATGAAAAGACAGTAACGCCTCCATTGATTCCCATCCTTAGCCATACATAAAACTACCTGAGGACCATGAGTTATATGACTTCTAGGAAATCTCCCAGTGATTTTTAATGAACCAATAAGTGCTGAACGAATACAACTATCCGTCATGACACAGTACTATGATACAAACTAACCATCACTCTCAACAAAAATCCAGTGCCTGAAAAAAAGATAAGTACAGTAGGCAATGGAATGTATAAAAGTTTATAAGAAAGCTATCTGTTTAGTAACACTCCTCATTAAATCCATATATATATATATATATATATATATATATATATATATATATATATATATATATATATATATATATATATATATATATCGATGAACATAGTAATGATATACAAACAGACAGAGATTATGAAGTAAGCAGAAAACGTCAGCTATACTATTCTCAGGGACGCTAGATTCCTTTACTTCAAAAACAGATAAACGAAATCAATGTAGTACCTCGCAAATAAGTGAATCGGTTCAAGATGACACACTTCACAGAAGTAAAAAGTGGAAGAGTGTGTAGGAAAAGACACATTAACTTAGACAAAGGCGTATGAGAGATGGAATATAAAAAATAAGTTCAAAAAATCCAAGCATTAGGATGCATCAAGACAGAATACATTTACACTATTGTGACCCATTTTCAACTACATCACAAGGATTCCTAAACCACTGATTCCTATTGTCTCGCGTAACAGCTTCAGACCACTCCTCGAGCATAACCTCACCTACTACAGAAGAGAAACGTATGACTGCCCGGTTCCTTCGAGCTCCGTTAGGCGTTGGATAGCCATGCACACTTGGTGGAATCTTGAACATAATGCTAGTCAGTCAAACTAATCCCCCTATGCTTGTTACAAGGACTTTTCGCCTTTCCTAAAAACTGGAATGGCAAGTGACGTAGACCGGTATGAAGGAAATACATACCTCTAATTTGTATATAATAACTAGTACTTCCCTTACTCCACTCAGTAATTTACTACCTCCTTCCGTAAAAACATTGGGTGGCAAACTGTAGTCCTGTTGCTTAGCATAGTTTCACGTTCAGAACAGCCTTCTCAACCTCGACGATAGTTGGAGGACAGATATGTGTATCTCATTCACGCTGGATGCAGAGAAAATAAAGGTTGGTGGGTTAGTCAAACTCTTGTTCAAAGTGTTCCACCCAACGTACTAGTCACTTGTTTTGAAAGATGATCCACATCCTATCATTCTCCGTAGTGGCCTCACTATCATCTTCTAGCAGGTTTTCTCAATAAATCCAAGTCATTTACAAGTATTATCTAATTCCCATGCTTTTCCTATCTCGTTTTCGCAACACGCAACTACTTACAATCAGTGCAAAGACTTGGTCAATTAACGTGTGAACTGCTTTCGCTCTTGATTGCTGACAGAGAGAGCTGGAATCAGGGTTCTTGCACCAATCAGTCTCCCTGAAGTTGTGGAAATCCAATGGCTTCGCATGACATTGGATAGAAGTTACCAACTGTTTTCTCTGCTGTTTTAACAGAAGACTGAATACCACGCTAGGCTCCCTCAAAGGGAGAGAAGCTGTCACATTTACATAAATGTTTAGCCATCATGATGGCCATCATGCCATCATGACTATATTCGAACGTTGCGTTTCACATAGCAAGATTGACAGCTTTTGACAAATTCATCTTCTGTATCATCCGGACTACAGTCGGTCAGCGCGTAGGTGGAGACTTCGAATAAATATCAGCTAATCCTATGCTTCCTTCCAGTTCATATAGATTTATTCAGCAAAATAAGAGACAGAAAGCTGTGGATTCGTATCCACTCGAGAATTTAGTGCTATACCTTAAGGCTAGGGAGCTCATTGGAGCTTGCCGCTGAATCTCCGCGAGAAAATTCAAGAAGTGAATTTCCAAGATTCTGTCAGCAAGTTTCCGTAGATTCAGTGGTTAACTCGAATGCAATCGGGTGTGTAGATAAGGTCAAGTGACTAATCATACTCGGATCACATATGCTTGTCCAAGAAACACAACATACATTCGTGACTCGAGATTCCAGAGTTCCGCCAAGAAATGCCTACTATCCGATTTGGCATAAGATTTGAATGTCGGAATCTTCAATATAAAATCCTCAGTGGGGTTGCAGGAGACTAGCAATATTGTTCAGATGGTTCAGTCGCTAGCAATCGTCGCAGTGAGAGGCTGAGGAGGTTGTAAGAAACCTCATACTGGTACCAGGAATTGAAGTCAAGCGAAGAAGCAGAAGTCAGAAAGGTAGTTATGGTTATAATAATAATGGCTTTACTCTGAAAGCTATTTTGGGAGGACTCTAGAGAATTTCCAGCACATCATACAGCATCAGTTGGATAGAGACAGTGTATATGTATACATAGCGAAATGAAATAAGTAGAAATCACATAAAGAAAAGACAAAATTATTCGCTCTGGTTGTGTTTCGCGTACTAACGAATGTGTTCGGGTAGTTGGTACTTTTTCGCTGTGCATACCATGGAAATTTATTCTGCAAAGAGCCTCGGAATGGAAAAGGGATTAGTTTCATGTGACTAAATGGCCCATATGTCATCTGCTCGATGGCCTGTCACACACGGCTTTTTAGGACTCATATATTGAGATATGATTGCTTTAATACCGTATTACAAGACCACATACGGCAGGCTATCCCGGGAGGCCAACCTTTTCTAACACCCGCGTCCTTCCCATATAAACGGCTGCATTAGTGTGCCTCTGGTGGCTATCCGCAGGAAAAACCTAACCTCCATCACAAGTAGACTAGCCATAAGTACAATTTTGACGTCTGAACCCCATCACAGTGTTGTAATTTATGTTACAACGATAACCACTTTTAGACTGACTATCCAACTGAACTGTCTGATATGTTAGGACGTCAAACAATAAACGGCCCATCGGCGTAGCTAGCTGGGTCATTGTGACATGCAAGCCTGACCAATGTGTCAAGGCAGCAGCTAGCGTTCGGGGAAGCTACGTACAGTTGTAGAAAATATACATTCGCTTTTTCTCATTATACACTGTGTAGAGTGATATAACTTTTGGCATGAATAAACAGTTTGGTGAAAAAGTTGGATACAATTATCAGATGCGCTGATTAAATGTTTGAACAATACCATATCAACATGAATAAATCCGGCGCGCAGTTACACACTATATCCAACTATGTGCAACTGTGGTTGTTTGTCTAGGTAGGTGAATTTCAACTAATGGATCGCAGGTTCGAAACCTGCTCCATCTTAGCTAGTACTATCATCCGTAACACAACATGCACACACCAACTACTGCGGGATAGTGCAGGTGGTTTCTGAGTATAGTTCATTTCGTTTACATTGAAGAATCACTGCAACAATCCCTTTCTGAAAAATTACACGATCAAGACAGACAGTAATCATTAACACTCCGTAATACGCAAAATTCTAGATGAACTTTAAGTTATCCATGTTAAGCAGTCAATAACATCTCATCAGCTACAAATAAAACAACATCATGGTATGACTGAGCATGGAGAAACCAAAACCTCTATTTCTCTCTCTTCACTGTCCAATAACTGAAATCAAACATTTATTGAATAATTTACATAGGATTTTTTGACGGAAGATTCAATGAAAATTAGGCAGAAAATGCAATTATATAAACCGTTTGAAAAGTTTGGGATTTTGTTGGTAAGTGTAGATTTTTCTTTGGAAGATTCATTCAAAGCAGAGATTACATCGTCCAGAGTTGGTAGTTTGTCCACTCGTCCGAAACCAACCAATGTTGGTTTTGACTGATAGACCATACGATGAAGAAGCTCATGAAGATCATCTTCTGTTACTTTATCTTGCAAACATAAGCGAAAAAGGAAAAGGTAATTGATTATCCTTCAGTATAACACACTTGAACTAAAAAATAATTAGCAAATAATGCAACTCAACCTGAAATAGGCATGTTCGTTATGTTATGAGCTACACAGTGTGTACTACATGATACTACGTCAACTGCACAGCACGAAGTAGTTGGAGCATGATTTAAGCGATGAACACAAGGCCTGATAATCAATTTGCTAAGCCAATGAGCTATATCCACGCTATAGGAGAAATTAAAAATCCAAACTAAAAATCGTCAAAGCAATGAATGATATTGAGCAGTCAGTAAAATTATTCAGTACTGCAGAATACAATTCCCATTTTTGTTCTGTGTGACCAACCTCATCCTCCTGCAAAACGGACGTTTTTATCGAGACGAAAATGCGAACAAAGGTGAATTCCCAGCCACCGCACTTGGCTCAACATGCAACACTAGTTGAAGTAGGATTGAGTTAGAAGACTCAGGGTGGTTAGACCAAAACGTGGCACCAGTTTACGAAGCCTCAGACTGTTGGTGTGAGTCGCGTAGGGAGGTGCGAGGAGGTGGGTCTTCGAGATGATAAGAATCAATTGTTGAAAGAATTTGGTGGCAGCCGGAAATCGGTCACAATAGCAGAGATTTAGTCACTCGATGATGTCTTCTAAAGTTTGGAGATTTTCAGCAACTTTCATTTTTTAAAAATTCTTTTCCCTCTCATACACTTTTGTTTACTTTGATTTTATTGTTTCTCTATCAACATGTTTTTTGAAGGCTGCTTCGAATTGTGATAACTCTAACCAATGCACCTTTGTGCAAGCTTAAATTTAGCCTAGCGTTTCACATCTGGGCAGACGGTTTGTAGGCGTGCGTAAAAAAGGTCCCAGTTGGTCCAATTGATGAAGGTTCACAACCTTATCAACAGACGTTTTTCTCCCTTAAACTCTACATTTGACTTCTATGCTACTAAGGTGATGGTAACAGGAAAAACACCCTACATAACAAACTAAACATTGGTCGAAAACACGAAGCTTTCTTATAACCTCCAACTATGCAACTACTAGAGGGACAGAGTACTTGCTCTTTGAAGAAGGTACAAAACTCACAACTGGTGGTTAACAAAACGAATATTTCTTAGAATCTTGATAAGATTTGTCATTCTTTTTTACTACTACTTTACGTAGGTCTGGTGTGATGAGCTCCTCATAAGCAGTTCCTGATTGTAAAACCTATAAAGACACAAACAAACAGACAGACAGAATCAACGTAAAACATCGCACACAAGTGCGCCGGTTAAGTTTTCCAAACTTAACAATAGTGTACAAAGAACAGATAGATAGAAAAACTGGTATCAAAGTAGACAAAGTTATGTGGTATAATAAACAATCTGCACCATTGTGACCATTTCCAGTCTTATCACCAAGACTCAGTTCTCAATCGATGATTCCTTTCATCTCACGTATCATGACCAGGTAGTCTACATTTCACACGGCTCAGACCAACATTAAGACACTTCATGGACTAGTACCACGTCTTAATTTGGTCACTCTGAACCCTTTTCCAACTTAATCCAACTTTCACTAGCATGGCACGTCAAGGTAAGTGGTGGATCGTCATGCGCAATACATCTCCAAATCATCTCAGTCGATGAAGATTCACAACCTCATCAATCGACTCGCTTATCTTGCCTAGTATACTTCCCCTGACCTCACCACTGCTCACATGCTGATTCCACCAAAAGCGAGTAATACTACGAAGACACGTATGATCAAAACTCTGTAACTGCTGCATGTCTCCTATTTACAACCTACATTCGAAGGATCACAGACACGTACTTTCAAATAATGCTTCTTGAATTAAATAAATGTAACATATTATATCTACTGCTAACCATCAACAGAAGGATAGTGGAAACATAAAATACACACACTGAATCCCTAACTAGCCAACGCTATGTACAGCAGCCAGTAAGAATACTCTGCAGGAAAGATTATGGCGGTTAAATCGTAACATAAAGCTTCGGATTGTGGTTGCGAGGCCTATGGATATGGATATGATTATCAGCAATAATTTATGTTCAAAACGTCATCAAGTAAATAATACTGTATCACTGTCATAAATCAAATAAACAAATCTGATATGGAATTACCTTCCACCACAGTGCTCACGTTTAACACTTGTATTAGTGATTACAGATTATACATGAAGTTAGTTTGTGGTGGTGTGGATTCATTCACACCTGACAGCAAAACCCCCACCCATTCAATAGACTTTGAAAAACAGTATCGTTATGTTTTCTCTATACCCTACATTACCAGGTCTCTTTCTAAAATGATTCGGATTTCAAAGTATGATGCGATTCGATACACATTCGGATAGGCACACAAGAAAGAGTATATATATATATATATATATATATATATATATATATATATATATATATATATATATATATATATATGATTCATCTAGGTGACCTTGGGCAGAACCATTCAGGAAGTAAGTTTATGAAGTCAACCTTACAACTTTGTAGGTTCTCAAATTTTCTGAAACCATGTGACTGAAAATAAGTAGCTTTTAGGTTGAATCTTCAGTAAATAGTAGTGTTTTTCAACATAATCATAGACAAACTCGGTGCCTGTAAATATCTTTGCAAAGTGAGATTTTAAAATACTGAAGTTTTAAAAGATTTCTACTGGATGTTCAAGACAACTGGAATATAAGTCCTAGATAGGATTAGAACACACATGTCTTGAATTCATTTAGAAGCCTACCACTAAATAAAAACAATATTTACTTATGAAGTCATATATATTAAGGCTTACTTATTTGATCAACCCAATAATCTGGTTCACGTCTTATATCCGCCGTTAACACTTGACGAGCAATATCTTCAAAACTAACTGCACGAGTCTCCAGATTCATTAAAAGCATTGACTCCAATTGACGTTTAGCTCTTGACAATTCTTCACTTGTTATTGACGATGTTATGGTACGACGCAATTCATTAATCAAAGTGTAAACTAAACGATCAAGATACGGTGGACACGAACTACCAATAATAGTAAATAACCCAGAATCAGCATATGCATGATTTTCAGCCTGTGCTGAATTGATCCAATGATGCCTACAAGATCAGGGACAGAAAAACGCATTTGTGAAATAACACCGTCAGCGATGATAATTTAAAAAAATGACGATAAAAGGATAAAAAATGGAATCGAAAATACGAGTCTACATCTGTAGATGATTATAACCTGCCTTAACTAAGATATCAAGGAGTGAATATATCTGCACCATTGTAACTCATTTTCAGCCATGTCACCAAGAGTCAGTCGTCACCAACTGATTCTTTTCGTCTCACGGATCCCCAAACACGCAGTCTACATCACCCCACATGGATCAGACCAACAGTAAGAGATTTCATCGACTGGTATCACATTATCGTCTGGCCACCGTGAACCGTCTTCCAATCTAATCTAGTATGACACATCAAGGTAGGCGTTGGTGTATTGGCATGCACAGTACATCTCCAAGTTATCTCAGTCGATGAAGGTTCACAACCTCAATAATCAACTTGCTTGTATTGCTTAGTACCTTTCGTCTGACCCAACACTGCTCACACGCTGATTCCACCAATGGCGAGCAATGCTACGAAGACATCTGTGATCATAAGTGTATAATCGCTTCCTGTCTTCTACTTTCGACTGGCCTGTCTCAGTCGTATAACAGGACAGAACGAACTGTAATGCAGCATACACGTCGTTTGATAAATAGTCGAGTATCTCGCCATTTTGTACCATAGATGATGGAAGTTAGCGAATACCAAATGGGCCTTCTGTATCGAACTGAGATTTCGTCAACAATCAGCACGTTCGGGCTGATGTAACACCCCAAGTAAGTGGAGTCGTCGACCTACTGTGTAAGGATTAATGGTATTGCCTGACTGCCTAGATCTTGAGAGTTGGATTGGCCTTTGAACTTGACCCGTCAGTTAGAAGTCAACTACCTGGACGAATGTGCCACAGCTCCTCTGTTACTCAAACCTTGGTAGAAGGAGTTGGGTACCAGTGTTTGACTTATTTAGTTGACAGTTGAGTGTTCAACATCAATCAGAAAATTAGTCTAGATGAAGGTGAATCGATACCACTGTTAGTTTTCAGAACAAAAGCAGATGGGACAGAAGTAGATCTGTAAATCATTCGAACACAAGCCAAACACATTTGCCACACAGAGGTAGTCAAAGTTGTTTGGGGATGAATTCGATGGTCAGAACAGATTTCAGCCTTCAAATACGACTTCAGTTAATAGAGACAATCACCACAACTTTATTGTATTGGTGAGGCCATTACATTTTCAATGTGAAAGGTATCTCAGAACAACTTTTAGCAAAAACGATAACAGTAATCATCAGTTGGGCCTTGTAGCCTGAGCAAGTGTCAAGTCAGTAATCAAGAGGCTTTCTAATTATGTCAGTTTCCTTAAAAGATATCTTCCAACTTGTTGACTTTTTAGTGGTATTAATATTATAAACAAGATTATGCACTCTTTTGATGTAAACTCTTCATTCACTAACATGTCGTTGTCCAAGACTACACCAACATTCTATGTGAAGACATATCTTCTAAAAAAACTCTTCCCTACTGCTTCAACTTTTCTGAGGGAACTATTATTGCTATGTATCGACAAAGTTCATCTCATCTTTGGAGATGAACAGTTTCGACAAATTGATGGTGTAGATATAAGGAATCCCATACGACCATCACAGCTGGTATTTATCTCATCGCTACAGCTTTCTCTTTACAAGAGATATGTCGACGACATCGTAGTAATTTGTGAGAAGAACGAAGATATGGTTTGTCTACTAAGAAGACTTAACACCGTACAAACTCATATCAAGCTGACTTGTGAGAAAAAGAGTAGTGTTCATCTGCCAATCGTAGATGTACTCTTGAGTCGACGGGAAAATGGTTCAGTAAGACGGTCAGTCTACAGAAAGCCTATATGAACAGGACAATATCTGAATTTTCACAATCTTTTTCTTATCCAATACAAGTGAGGTTAACAAAATCCCTGTTTAATAGGATCTATCGTATCCGTACATCAGATACGATGGATCAAGATATTAAATTAATGATCAAAACGCTTATGGAAAAAGGATATCCGTTAAAGTTTATAAACCATTGTAGAAGTCAGGTAACACACAAAAGACAACTCTATACACGGTGCCTAAGAAAAGTGCCCATATCACCATACCATACAGACAGGAGTTGAATAGAATCATTTGAGACGTAGGCTAACATCAATTATTAGGATAACCTATTACACATCTAAATGGCTTCAAAACAGATAGAGTGTAAAACTTTGATAAGCGAAGGTGGGAAAAGACCCTCTTTGTCTATAGCTAAACATATCATAGAAATGGGTCACAAAATAAATGTTCAAAGGGCTTTCAGTTTTATAATAGAAACAGCGGGAGATACATACTGATATTTGCAGAAGCAATAGACATACACATACTGAAACTACCTTTTTGGGTACAAAAACAATTCGTTTGAGTACACTATACCTTCCTTGGTAAAGTTTGTTTTCTTATCAAGATTAGAATTAACTACATTACTTCCTTTTTGTTCTCATCTTTCTGAATTAATCTTAATCTCCTGTTTATCCTAATTGTTCTATTTGTCCTCCCACTCTTTGGTTTAATGTAAACTGACTTGACAAGCAAATGTGTGATCAGACTGTTTAAAGTGTATTGCGCAAACACAAACCATACACTGTCCAGACAAACTTTGTCTTTTATTTACATTATCCAAATTCACAAGAGGAACTAACTGGTTCAAATCCGGAGGCTGACTGTTCGACTCCCCCTGCGAACCACAATTTTATTTCACCTTCACGTTTTATCAGTAGATCACCTTCATCCTTCCTATCATGGGCAATGAATACTAAAAGCTTCTTCAGAAAATATGAAATGAAAGAATTGTTACAATAGATTGAGTTCCTTACCTTAACAATATGAAGTGAGATACTCTTATATGCAAGCTGCCACAGAATATCAACAATAGCTGCAACCAGCAATCAGTTATGATGAAAGAAAAGCAGACTGACTCGATGTCAACAATACATGTGGTCCAGTGTGTGACATCTTTAGACATGAAAGCACACCGTTCTACTCAGTGCAGCATGCAGAGAAATAATCGGGGATATCGCTGAAAAGAGTGATTCTTCACTGAATATATTTTGTTTTAACAATCAAAATTGCTTATAATGCAAGTTTTAAAAAAAAACCAAAAACGCCATGTGGTTGTTAGCAAAGAATACCAAATAATATAAACAGAAAAAGATGAATTTAGGCGTAAGATGGATCATCGCAAAACTTACTCATTTAAAATGTTCACATAAAGTCGAGTGTACATGCCCTTTCCCGGTCCACCGGCCGAAAATGATCCACCCCCGCCTAGAAGAGAGTGGAGCACGCAAGCTGGAACAAATTTTCCATCTGTATAACTGCATGATTCAAAACCAATGGCAGCATGAGCGAATTCAGGCATCGGCGCATGATACTGTGATAAGTCACGCTCTAACTTGATTATAAGAGAAGAATTGAAGATTAATTAGGACAGTAAATGTATTTAAAAAGAAAATCAAAATACTATATGTCTGCCTTAAAAGTTGGTTTGTTTACAGACAGACAGATGAAAAACGGGCATCTAGCGCGACCTATAGGCAAAAGCATAAAACTTAGATCACAAAGAGAAGAACTCCCATCCGTGTTGAAGAAGGTGCTATACATAAATCTGGATTGACAGGTTACTCTACCATCAATAAACCGATAGGGTGATACGGCAGGCAGTGAGGTGACCATATGTACCTTGATAAAAAGCCAATGACTGAGTTGTGATCTTTGTTCTTACATCTAACCAAGTCTACATTTTTAGTTGTATGATTCCCATTCATATTATTTTGAATAACATACATCGTATATAAGCAATAAATTTTATTTGAATAAATGATACGATAAGTAAACCAGCCTAATAAATCATTACTCAATTTTGGGGGAGAGTCATATGATAAGTGCAATCACAGTTAATCGACTGGTTCGCCAACCTGAGCGCTAGTCATTCAGCCACGCACAAAATTAGATCGTATCACTAATGATTGACCAATCGACCATCATTCTATCATCTGTCCCTTGACCAAACAACCACAACTGCATCATAACAAAGCGAAGTCTAACTACTTAGGAAGAAGTCCTTTCACTTATATCGATGAAATGTTCATGCATTGTGGAGTGAATTAATGTATTTCAATGACAAGTTCCCACAAAGTGGAATTTCTACCCATTGCCTTCACATAGCAAGAAGTACTTACATAAAATTGAAACAAAGAAAGCAAATATCCAGCGTGTTCTGAGAGTTGATACATACGGAGGATTCTCATAGAGAAGTTTGTAAATGCTGATTCCAAACCACCAACCCCCTGAGCCTTCCTTCTTTCTACCCACTCCAACTTCGGTTAACACTGCACCTATAGGGAAACAGTAGTTCGGTACGCACAACACGTGTCTAAGTAGACTCAGTCGGTGAAAGTTTACAACTTTATCGACTGACTCGCATGTTTTGACTAGTGCTCTTCACCTAACCTCAACATTGGTCACACGGTGTCCCACCACACATGAGCAATGCCACAAAGATAACTGTGTCCGAAAACTTGCAATCTCTCGACATCTTTCAACGACCATGTCTCCCAAATGTATAAGATGATAGCGCGAACTGTAGGGCAATTTCATCATGCTCTAACAGGTAGGTGGATATCTCGCAAGAGGATAATATTTACAGCTCAAGTGGATGGTCTTGATTATGTTCTCTGAGCTGAATGGTTTAGTCGTGAAGCTTTCATTGTTGTTCTAGAAAACATTATTAGATAAAATCACCCAGCTCAGACAACACAACATAACCGAAATCTCACCAGTCAACAACAGAGAAGATACAAGTTAGTGAGTGTCAAACGAGGTTTGTGTATCCGAACTGATATCTCATCAGTAATCAGCCTGTTAGGGATGATGCAAATCCTTGTTTAAGTGAAGTGGTCAATACCTTTTACACCTACACTCTCTACCCTTAAACTAGGAGCAGCTACAGACCAGTCTAGTAGTATCATCTTGCACTTCACAGGTGCGCAATACATGCCAGTTAAACACAGACAGATTTCTGCTCCAAGCATTCCAAAGATCCTGCTTTTTGTTACGATCTTGTATGACAATCTCGATTGCCAACATACCAACCACACTTACAGAATAAAGTTAAGCTGGAATAGTGACTGCGGGCATTCATGGCGGACACCACTGATTGTCGACAATTCATAAAATAGCTCATCATAAGCACAGACACGCCCGCGTGAATTGTAACAGACAGCTTTGATTAGCGTTACATACTGGCTCATTACTCTTTTCACAGTCAGACACTACCACGATACCTCTCGCTCGACAGAATCAAATGCCGCCTTCAGGTCGAAATATTGCAAGTTTAGGCCACCCGTAGCGATGCCTCTGTTCCAGGATCTGAGGAAGGGTAGAATTCTGAGTGATGCACCCTCGTTTAGGTCCAAAAACCTGGTTGATTTTTTTCAGTTTGCAGCTATCAAGGTCCAACCAGCTTCTAGGATATTGGATACGATGTTAGTTAGACTGATATCCATATCCTTACCCTCAGTTATAAACTGCAACGACCAGTGATGTAGAGCAGACTGATGAGACTAATTCCAATCCCTGGACAATATTTCTGGACTATATTATTAGTAATAGCTTACCGACGACACTTACATCCCAATCATATTCAGGCTGGGTGTTGGGGGAACTGAAGGGTTGATGTAGGCCAGTTAAATTGTGCTTCAAAGTGTCCTGCCCAAAGTCCTAGCCGCCTGTCCTGGGAGGTTATCAGCGTCCCATCCTTTTCAGTGATGGTCCCGCTAACCATAGTCTTCGTATCGCCAGTATCTTTACTAAGACTAAAATTCGTCAGGTGTTCTCCAACTTTCACCACCAAACACAACCCAGTGTCATTGCAAAGCCCCTAGTAAATTTACGTTTGGGCTTTTCCCGCCTTTCACTGTGACTACCTACAACCTGCAGGAATCAGTCTTCTTGCATCAATCAGTTCCTACGACGTTGCGGAAATTCAATGACGTTTGAAAACCTTTGGAGGAAGGTTATCAACTACTTACTTTCACTGTTGTTTCAACAGCAGACTCAATACCACGCCGTTTCCTCAGGAGAAGTAAACCTTCCACTTCTACATAAATGCTGAACTATCTTATCCTTAAATTCGAACATGACCTTCTCATCTATAAATCGAACACACACAGGTTTTACTACTGCCTGTCTGTTTTCTGCTACCAAGAAGGAGCAAACATACACATGCTCATAATAAAGCGTAACAGGCCAAATATACACTCCAGAAACAGAAGCATTCCTCTGCCGACACTCTCCAACGATGGCTTATAACAATATGATGTGTCCAACTTAGGCCTGGTGTTGACAGAAGCTATGTGAAAAAGTGTCTGTCCCTATGCTAGAAGTGAGTGCTGGTCAGAAACAAGTGACTTTCAAGACGAAGTTTCAAGACATCGTCACCGTTGTCGGTTTTTTGGCATAGGATCCCATAGATACATTCAAAATGCCTTTTCGACTGGCATAGCCTTCCTATCTTGCTCTTCAAGTCCCCTGCTATTATGACTATGTCTGAATGTTGCACTCCACGCAGCGAAATTGACAGCTTTTGATAACTCATCGTCTTCACTATCCAAATTGCAGTCAGTGAGGTGCGTGTAGACGGAGATTACGAATAGGCATTGGCTAGTCTCACGACCCTTCTAAGTACTTACAGACTCATTCAGTAGGACAATACACAGACAGCCGTTGACCGGTATTCACTCAAGAAGTGCGCTTTCTACTCCAGGAATTAATGCTATACCTACTCCAGTTGGTCCATACGAGCTAGCAATTAAATCTCTCTGAGGACAGTGGTAAAGTGAATTCCGCAGATTCACTGCCTTTGCCAGCTATAGTCAAGTGAATAACTATACTCGGATTATGTATACCTGTCTCAGAAACACAGCATGCATCCATGACTCGAGATTCCAGAGTTCCTCCAAGAAATGGTTACTATTCGATTTCACATAGGAATCGGATGTTGAAAGCTCCACTATGTGAAATCCATAGTGGGGTGTTAAGAGACTAAAAATGGTGTTTAGTTGACCTGCATTGTTGGCAGTCGTCGCACAGTGAGAGGTTCAGGTAGTTAGAAGAAGCTTAATATTGGCTTAATCAAGAAGTGAAGGCAAGCGAGCATGCAAATGCAAGGAAGCTAGCCATAGTCAAGTGAGCTTCAAATACTACTGAATGTGTAGCTAATACTCCCCGGTTACGCACATCATAGAAGTTGCTTCTGAAAGCCACCTAGAAGTGGACAGGAATAGATCTGGGCGATCGCAAAGCCTGAGAGACATCTACATGAGACCTGTCACGCATAGTTTTTTGATGATTGACGTAATGGGATTTGGTTATTTTAACGCCAGATGAGAAAAACGCATACCTGAAGACCGTAGGGCAAGGAGTGTGCTGTTTCAGAGGCCGACCTTTTCCAGCCTCCGCCGTTTCCATAGGGAAGGTAGCATCAGCATAGGACTGATGATCATCCATGCAAAACACCTTATTGCTATCACATCCTCATCCAGTCAGAAGTACGACGTCGCCCTCAGACTACCATCATAGTGTAGCCATTTTTGCTACAACCGTAACAACTTTTCGTTTTGCCACTATCCGACAGACATTTTTGGCATGGTAAGACCTCAAGGAAGAAGCGCTGCAGCCAGTGTAGCTCGCTGAGCCATCATGATAAGCAATCGCAGCCACCACACCAGAGTAGAAGCTATCGGACGGGTTATTAAAGTGTACTCACCATACGACCTAAAATGACCTGCTAATGGGTAGAAGAAACCCAAAAAGCTACATCATAAGCATGATAAGTACTTTTGTACAGAGTACTCTTTTCATCGTAATGTGTACTATTGAAATGAATAAATTTCTATCCACCCATCTTTTATATCATACCTCTACATCGAGTGCAGTGGGTTAGTGAATGGTCACAACAGTGAAATCATACTACGTCAGATGAGCAGTTTAGTTGTAACTATGTGATTAGGATCTTTTGCAAGCCGCAGACAAACACGGACGTTCACTCAGTAACCATGTCCACGTTCATGCAGCAGGCAATGGAGCCACTCATTGTGAAAGGGCTAAGGAATGATGCTACCCTACTGCCAAGACCTTGATAAGAGAAATAGGGTTTGAATTCTTGCTCTATGGATTGAAAGTTTAGCTCCAGCTACGTTCACCTGACAATATTTATCTGGCTTGCTTATGACCAGGTTCTCACTCATCGTCAGTTTTTTCAAGGCTTTCCTATCCATTTTTGTTAAAATCTTTTTTACAGCATACCGACTGCTTCCATACTTGTGACTGCAGTCAAAAACAATAACTTTAAATCATTTAACTTCTTCGCTTGATGAGGGTACAAATGGCAAACCACTAAACATTAAAGAATAAGGAGCTATTAGGCGATAAAAAAAGGAATTTGAAAGTTGTACGGTTACTTGGATATGATTAATCGCTCTCAAAAACATCATCTAGAAAACAATACCATGCCACTGTTATATTAAATAAACTAATGTAATATAGATTAAAATAAATGACTGATGAAGATTCGTGAAAAAATGGGAAGGACAAATCAATCTTACTTTATGATAACCACCAGTATACTGAGAAACTGAATTGTCAGGGGGAGGTATATCACAAGTTAGCTTCTCAGTACATACACTTGGCACTGTTGGAACAAAATACTTTTCAGCTGCTTTTACCAAGGAATCGTGTTCAATTCCTACACCAGCAATCACCATACGTTCCGGTCTGTAAAATGAAATCAGACAGAAACCTATTGAGACTATTTATATTACCCTTAAAATAGGAAATTGGTACTCAATATTTACATCGTCTAGAAATGACACGGCAATATTTTAAATATACAAAACGGCAAAATCATAGGGTAGTGACCAGAAAGAAAGAAACAGTCCCATAAACCTGAATTCACAGAATCATGCCAAATTCGTCAGTTCATCTTTGATGATTCTATAGGAAAGCAGATTGGTTTGAAAAATCGACTTTCAGCCACTAGGCGACTGATCCACTTTTTAAAGCTAAATTACTGTTAACACTGACGGTGGCAATGTTTACATTGTGTTATGTGTTACTTATATGAACTCACTTAAGTAGTATTTAGTATAGTGTGCCTGGGAAAAGTAATTACAGTTACCATCTAATTAGCCGGGGTTATGAAGGAGGAAATGAAAAACAAAAGTAGTAAACGTGGGAGAAGAGCGAAGAAGCAGCAGAAACTGAAGATGGGTCCACCTCCACTTTAGAATGCACAGACTACATGCATGAACTGTCCCTCAATATAAAGTTTTAGCATTTTACCAATACTCAGTGTAATTTCCTAATCAACAATATAACCAGTCTTTATCTGTGATATTCTTACTGTATTCTGCTAAGATCACGAATGAATGGCATCACGAACTAATTTATTTATTAATACGTGTGTATTTTGTAGGATCGGCAACAAAAATTCGACTATTTATCAAACGACGTGTATGCTGCATTACAGTTCGTTCTGTCCTGTTATACGACTGAGACAGGCCAGTCGAAAGTAGAAGACAGGAAGCGATTATACACTTATGATCACAGATGTCTTCGTAGCATTGCTCGCCATTGGTGGAATCAGCGTGTGAGCAGTGTTGGGGTCAGACGAAAGGTACTAAGCAATACAAGCAAGTTGATCATTGAGGTTGTGAACCTTCATCGACTGAGATAACTTGGAGATGTACTGTGCATGCCAATACACCAACGCCTACCTTGATGTGTCATACTAGATTAGATTGGAAGACGGTTCACGGTGGCCAGACGATAATGTGATACCAGTCGATGAAATCTCTTACTGTTGGTCTGATCCATGTGGGGTGATGTAGACTGCGTGTTTGGGGATCCGTGAGACGAAAAGAATCAGTTGGTGACGACTGACTCTTGGTGACATGGCTGAAAATGAGTTACAATGGTGCAGATATATTCACTCATTGATGTCTTTTAAAGCTAAAATATATCCACTAACCGTTATCTGCAAACTGTTTGTTCTCTCACACAACTTTCCTCTTTGATATCACTCTTTTTCTATCCACCTGTCATTTGTGTACTACTGTGAACTGTGCCAACTTGAGCCAATGGGTCTGCATGCAAGGTTCTACGATGATCTTGTCAGTCAGACAGTGAGCATTTTCAAAATTCCCTGAAATACTAACCAGGGAAGGAAAATGAAATCATGGTATTCAAAAGAAGCTTCTTTTCTACAATGCAAGGTTCCATGTCCATATTGACTGTTTTCCTGTCTGTTCTCGAAGCACAAAGCAGAACAAAGAAAACTGCAGCGCAGTAAACTTGATTTTTAACAGACACTCGAATATCACAACACTGATGTCATGAAACGCATAATTCCGCGACAATTAACTGAGTAAAGTGTCCGTGCAGAGATTTCGTCGATCAATGACACATAAGGGCTAATCCAACTTCCTACAAAAAGCGAAGTGACCGACCTGACCAACTACTTTATTCCTTACCATAAAGTGAGGCATCGGTGAAGACCAGATGTAGAGTGATAAATTAGTTTTCCGTGGTGAAAAAGAGAGGAAAAATCAACGTACAACACTGCACAAACAAATGCATCGATTCAAATTGCTACACTCCACAGTGTTAGACAAAGAACAAGTGAGTAGAAAATACTTTTCAAACTAGACAAAAGTGTATGAGAGGAGAAACATTCTGAAAACAAAGGTTAGCAAAAAATGTTCAAGCAGAACAATATCGTCTGCGTACTTCAAGGCAACCAGACGCTGCCTATGAAGTAGGCCAGTCCCTGTTAAATAAGAGGCACTTTAGTTTATGTCCATTAGTACATACATAACGAAGTTGGACAGGAACGGTGACAGCAAGCATCCCTGATGGATACCACTAGTTGTCGTCGATTCTGATGACAACTCTCCACTAGTCCTAACACGCCTCGGTGAGTTGGAGTGGAGAGGTATGATTAGCGTTACATACACATTTTGTTCTGAGGAATTGATCTTTTGACAGGAGAATCCTTAGTACATCGAGTGTACAGATGACACAATCCCACTGGATGAAGACACTGAGATGATGTAGAGTTTTGTTGACATTTTGAGTGACAACATGAGAATCTTCAGGATGTGTTTCTCACTTCACTTATTTAGGGAGTTGTATTAGCCCGAACCGGCTGGTTTGTGACAAAATTTAAGGTCGCATATAGATGGTCCGCTCAGCATATGCTAACTTGCATCATCTCTGGGGTCGGCGAGATATCCGACTACCTATTAAAGGACGAGAATACTGCATTGCATTCCATCCCGTCGAGTTATGCGGCTGTGAGATGGCCATTAAAAGAATGCGCGTTCCATCCTGTTCATGGGACGAGACGCACACTCCAAGTCAACCAGAGGGTCTCCAAGTAGTGTATCAATCCCTGTGAAGTCAAACTTACCTACGGTTATTCCCATCAGTATGATTATGACGAAGTTAAGTAGGAACTGTGAAGACTCTTGATCAACTTATATTTGTGTTACCTTAGCACTTCATTGTTGTCAGAGTCAGCCCGAATAGGTCTTCTCGCATCAACCAGTTCAGATGACGTAGCGCTGATCCAGTAACGTTTGCTTGTAGGCTACATTTTGCTCTCTTTAGCAAAACTGACAGCTTCTCACAGTATTCAGGCTTTGCATCATCTGAACTGCACTCGGTAGGTGTTAGGGCGGAGATTACGAATAGACATCAGTTGGTCTCACGATCATTCCTAGTTTTCACAGACTCACTCAGTCAAACAGCAAAAACAAACGGCTGCTGACTGGGATCCAGTCGAGAAGAGCACTCCAAACTCTACAACTCAACGCTACGCCTACACCAGCGAGTTAACGACAGCCTAGCCACTTAGTCTCCGGATACCCGTAAGGTGAATTTCGAAGATTTAATACAATGGCCAGGTGACGTCAACTTAATAACCACACTCAAGTCATGTCTGTATACGTGTCTGAGAGACACAACACACATCCATAACTACAGGTGCCAGAGTTCTGGTGAGTGATGCTTGCTGCTAGATTTGGCAGAGTTCGGACGTTGAGAGCTTCTACTTCTACATAGATTGTGGAGTCTTAGGTGACTAGAAATGAGGTTTCACTGGCTTTGATCTTTGGCAATGGTTGCAGAGTGAGAGGTTGCGAAAGGTTTAAGAGGCTTAATATTAGTAGCAGGAAGTGATGGTAAGGGGGAAGGCAGAGTTGAAGAGGATAGGTTGCTTGATTATGCCTTATGTACTACTGGAAGCGATCGGGCGGGTTATACCTTCCTGCTGTCCACACCATGCAATGCAAGTTTTTTTCGTAGTACCTGGAAAAAAAGGGTTTGTGGGTGACGGTAGAGCCTATAGGACAACTGTCTGACTTCGGCCACACACAGCCTTCTGGCTAGTTTGAGATTTTCGCTTTTCGTTTTCGATTCTGACCATAAATCCCCGTCGCAGGCATCGGTATACCGCCGGGTTTTAGAAGTGGGCTGTTTTTAAGATTAACCTTTTTTAACCCCTGTCGCCTTCACACAGGTAAGACAGCATTACCGTGGCACTCATGGTCATCCGAAGGGAACACCTTACTGTTGTCACCACCAGTCCAGTCATCAGTATGACATCGCTCTCAGACCCATATCAAAACGTAGGAATCTACACTATGATAGCAAGCGCTTTTTGTCCAACCTGCATACAACAATCCTTTCGGGTGTCGTACGACCTCGACAGCATGGCTCGTCGGATCACTGTGACATACAGCCCCGACCACCACGGCAAGGTAGTAGCTATCGGTTGGGCTTAGGTACAGACACAGGCTTGCTCAAGCCAACACATTACTGCTGCCAAAACATTTACACCGAAAGTAGCGCCAACCTCCTACCAGACTGCTTAAAGCAATAACTGTTAGCAATGTCGTCTACTTTTGTCCATTGGAAAGTTGGGGTTGGTAAAGGTCAAGTCAAACCGTGTCTCTTTTCATCTCTGAGCTTCGCGCTGACCACAAAAATACGGTTTTCTGATCACAGTTATAGCCGGTGATCGTCGTTATCCCTTACTTCGACTGGCATCTCAAAAATGTCACACACAAATGTACCCTTTCGCCTGACTTAGCCTATTCACTTCTCCATTGAAATCACCTGCAAAAACAACCTAAGGTGAAGGTTTCGCTTTCACTACACTAGGGGGCTAGACAGTTTGTGGTAGAACTCATCCATCACTTCATCCAAACTCCAGTCAGTCGGTGCATAAGCAGAGATTACAAAGAGACAACAACGAGTTTCATCACCTCCTTTAGTTCTCACTGTGCCCTTCAGTCGAATAGTACATAGTCGACTGTCAACTGAGACCTAGTCGAGTAGTGCACTTCTTGCCTCAACACAATGCCTTACATACACCTGGAAGAGCAGGAGAAGTAACCATAGAATCTCCAGAAACTCAAAGGGTGAATCCCCAATATTCACCACATGCACCAGGTGAGGTGAGGTGAATAACCGCACCTCGGTGCTGTATGCCTGTCTCACAAACAAAGCACACATCCACACACACACACACACACAGATGCTAGTCTTCCCCAGCGAAGCTTGTTGCCCGACCTAATGGAGAGTACGAGCATTGAAAGCTTCAATGAGTAGATTGGAGTGCATTTTCGTGAACTCAGATCGTTTTTGAGGGCTGTAGGGCTTTAGGAAATTAGAGATGAAGTAGGAATGTTGACTGAGAGATGTGAAGAAAGATTGGGAGATAAGCATGAGGAAGGTCGATAATGATTTGCAGCAAATTGAGTGCTGACATAGTTGTGGGGGCGGTTAACACTCTCCATGTGCACAGACCAAGCAAGGTTAGGGTTGTTTTTTTATTGAGGTATCTAAAAAAGACGGGTTAGCAATACTGATGTGACCAAAAAACCTATGGAACATCTACTTGAGGCACATCACACACGACCATTTTGGAAGTTGAAGGTTCGAGTTAGCTCATTATAATTTGAGGAAAAAAGCTATACCGCAGAATGGGAGGCGAATGTACTATATTTGCAGTTCACCTTTTCATAGGGAAGACAGTATTGACACTGTGCTGCAGTCACAACCCCGTTCAGCCAGCGGATACGACTTCGCTCTTGGACTGCTGTCATAACGTAGCTACTTACATTATGGCGATGACTGCTCTTTGTCTCACGATTATTCAACTGACATTTCTGGCATAGTGGGAAGAAGCGTTCTCGCCTGCGTAGCCCATCGTATCACTATGATAAGCAAGGTTGACCTCCATGTTAGTGAAGCATCTATCGGTCGGCATACCAAGTGACAGCTATCAAAAAAATTACAATAAACGATCGTCAATACCGGTTTGTTTGCAACGGATTTAGAAAATAACCCTTAAGTTATTTTTTGTCCGATTCAGACTACCTATCTGTAATTTCAATCCACTAACCAGTCTAGAAGTATCAGAGTGCTTCACGCTTTCGTAGCAAGACTGACAGCTTTGGTGAAACTCGTTCTTTGCATCGTCTTAACTATAATCCGTGGGTGCGTAGAGAGACCACAAAAAGACAACGATAGATATCATGGTCTCGTCGATGCCTTGAGATTCATTTGGTTGGACAGCAAATGGGAGGCTGTCAGCTGACATCAAGACAACAATGGCGTTTTCAGCACTGCGAATTACAACTATATATAATGTTGAATTTGCTGTATCTATCTAACTTTTTTGTGTCAAACAACAGCCTCACAGGTCTGCTTTTGTATTAGGCTCTTGCTCTGAACCCATTGACAAACTATTTTGACACTTTATCTGTTTTTTTTTTGTAATTCATCTTCACTTCTCCCTTCTCACCCTTTTCATATTTATGACCTTTATTCTGAGTGATTATCTTTATTTTCAATTGGTCAAAGTATTAACGTTAAACGATCATTTGATTCATTTGCAAAGTGAAGTGATATTGATTACACATTGTAGATTAATTGGCAAATACTGGCCGCTGTTGACCACCACTTATAACTGATCCGGAGAATTTCCCCCACGGAAGTGTCACAACTGAAGGTCACTACTATCATTATTATTTTGGGCGAAATTCTATTTACGCCACAGCTTAAAATAAATCTCAATATATTGTTCTAGACTTTTATGGGTTAGTACATAGCCATTTCAGACTTACCCCATACACTAGATAACCCAAAGAAACTAATGATCGGGTCTCTCCTTTTCTATACTGACTACATTGACCAAGTAAGGTCGGTTGGGTACCAATAATTGAGTCTGTCTTACATGTTTTACCAAATGAAAGGGATACATCCACGAACCTGAGTAAAAAGTTCAGTTGATTTATTTTTATTCGGACATCCAAAGCCCAAACGAGTGTTCGGTAGCACAACTTCAAGATGGGTGAAACGATTTCGTTGGAGGAAATCGTTAGTAACAGTCATAGAGTAAAATGATGAAGAAACTACAGGGGGTGGATAATGTTGAGATAATCAAGACAACGAAAGATTGAGAGAACTGATGATGGGATGATCAATTTGCAAATAATTTACAAACTGCACGGTTTACGTTGACATTTCTCACAACTGAATAGTTTTTCAACTGCCCAAATGTGGTCCCAACAAGGTCTCCGTTAGAAACTACTAGGTCAAAATCACAAGATGTGTGATCTCTGACACAAAAGTGTCACGAATTGATGAAATACACTACTGAACAACTTGAGTAGTTATAAACCACTCAAACTAGATTCAGGTGATCTGAAAAATTTGGCTCCTCTGTGAGCTGAATTTGTCTGGGTACACTGCAGCTGATGGGCTTGGCTCCAAATGAGCAAAACAGTCATCGGATATTTAAACAACTCTGGTCTGGATGGTAGAATCTACAGACTAGCCTAAGTGGTTGAAACTAATCAATTTCTTCAGTATTATGTAGGACTGGTGATGACCAAAAGGAATTTATGTGCTTTTAGGAACATGCAAGCAGTTTATACTTTCAGGACGTCCAAAACAAAAACTGTGTAACTTATTGATAACTGACAAATAGTAAGTACTTAAGTCATGGTGAAACAATAGGAATCTTTTAACTTTACATGCCATTTTCGGATTTTAAGATGTCAGCAGTCATAGAGCAGCACCATAGATGGTTAGAAGTATTTATTGCATCAATTTACACAAGAACCGGACCGAATCTTTTTACATGACTTTTCCAAATACGTGAAGCTGAGAAAATCAATTCTTAAGAACAAAACTAAAGGTATGACAAGTATATCCTGTCACATAAATGCTCCACATAAAAAGTGCACGGTAACTTACCTGTATTGAGCAGCAACAAATCTGATGATATCTTCACGAGCAATTTTGCCCACATTCTGTTTAGGACAATATCTTGGTAGGCCAAGTGTATTATTTCTGTAAGCAGCAATATGTAGTAATTCATTCATAACTGGTTCAACCGGGGGTGATCGCTCCAACGCTTCAAGTTCAAAAGATATACTTTTAGCAGCCATTTCAACTTCCTCTTCAGTAACTTTTGCCCTAAGAACCGTGTCAGATAAAGCATGTACGAGCCGATCCATATTCATATTGAATCCAGAAACCGCATAGATTATGAAGTCTCTACACAAAAAAGTAAAATCATTAGAAGATTTCAAGAGAGTACAATTAAAGATGATAAAATAACTGTAAAAAATAAATACCCTTGAGATGTAGTATTTATCTTATTAGCGAGAATTCCTTAATAAGTCCTGATATTAAATCACAGAATCCGTGAAGAAAGTAAATCATGAGTAATTAGGATGAAGTACAAGTTCTTATTACTTCAAAAAAATACATGCTGATCATGTTGTGAATTCCCACCAATCAAGATGTGTTAGGCATCCTGACCAATCGTTTATTTCAGTGCTAAAGGACGATTAATTTCAACACCAAAAAAATTAAAGACGTTCAGATCAAGAAATGAAACGAACCCATTGCCTCTGATCATTGATTTGAGTTGCATTGTGATACACCTTGGATCAGCGAAATGACTTACAACCCATTGACAGCCCAGATGCATACACGCTTAATCTTCATCCTGCAAATGTTATCACCACACACTATCGTTTTAGTTCCATCTGATCATTTCAAGTTATTCCATAGCTGGCACACTACACTTTCTTTTTCTCATATATCGACTAACATTTAGACATATGGATGGATAATGCGGTAACATTTGACCGCTACGTGGTGATACTAGGTTCTTTGTTGAACACAGTGTGATAAGATATTAACTATTCAGAACAAGCTGTATTAGTGGATTTTCAAAAGTTACCTTTCGAGTAGCCGGAGACCGATTGGCTAGCCAGAAGACTGATTCCAATTGGCTCTCTGACCACAATGAAGAGCGAAAACAACTCAAACGCTAATTGACCAACAGTCTTCGCAATGATCGCGAGCAGAGGTGAGTGATGAAAGAGAGAGAGATGGAGAGAAAGCAGTCTATAGCGGCAGGAAGTCATCATTATAGAGCAAGGTGGGTTTAGATAATGCTGAAATCTAGTATGACGATGAAGGTGAAGATAATGTGTGGATTCATCTGCACTATTGCGATCGATTCTGGGTCATATCACTCAGGATCTCCAACCACTGCTTTTCATTGTCACCCACACTCTAAATGGGAAGTCCACGTTTCTCTATACTCCTCAGACCATTCGCCAGAGACTTCATGGACTGATGCCATGTTTTATTCGGGTCACTTCTAACCTTTCTCCAGCCTGAGTCCAGTTTAGCCTACATTACGTGACAAAATACACGTTGACTATGGTTATTTAACTAATGTTATAGAAAGCTTAATCGACGAAGGGTGGTAACCTTATTAACTGACTTCACTCTTTTCTCAATCCGACAACTGACTTATATACTGACTTTGGGTCATCACAATGTATAACTAAGAAGGCGAATCGGGTTCAACACCTGAAACTTTTTCATGTCCGCTTCTTTTAATGGCCGTACTTCACTGCCGTATTGTAGAGCTATGGGTTTGACAGATGGGCATTAAAGGTAGAGGATATGATAAAGGTTTACTGTTTGTATTATTGTTGTCTTTGTAGCATAGGCTGTGTATCGTGGTTTCTCCAATTCAGTAATGTAGGAGTCAGGTATTGAATTTCAGGCAGAAAGGGGAAGTCAGTTGATAAGGTTCTGGCTTTCATCGATTTAGGTCTCTTAGATGTGTGTTAAGTATACACGATTATCTTGTGCTTCGTCGCATAATGTAGGCTAAACTGGACTCAGGCTGGAGAAAGGTTAGAAGTGACCCGAATAAAACATGGCATCAGTCCATGAAGTCTCTGGCGAATGGTCTGAGGAGTATAGAGAAACGTGGACTTCCCATTTAGAGTGTGGGTGACAATGAAAAGCAGTGGTTGGAGATCCTGAGTGATATGACCCAGAATCGATCGCAATAGTGCAGATGAATCCACACATTATCTTCACCTTCATCGTCATACTAGATTTCAGCATTATCTAAACCCACCTTGCTCTATAATGATGACTTCCTGCCGCTATAGACTGCTTTCTTCTTTATTTATTAATCTTTCATCCTGCTGAATTGTGGGATCATGTGTCGGTATGAAATGTAGCAACTTAGACGGTTAAGCAATCACTCTAGGTTCCTTGTTGATATTGACTTACCGACTGACTCACGTTTTTTGGTAATCACCTCTTTCTTTAGAAATTCACTCCAGGCTTTAGATGCGAGTTGAGGATGAAATCTTAGTATGGGTTAAGGGGATCCGATTGCTTATCAAAGTGCGTGTGTAGTGCACAGCAGTTTTTCTGTTATAAAAGTATGTATGTGTAGGTTTTATTTATCAAGGACAGGATGCAATATGCCTGAAGCGCCACTAAAGTTTTCATTCCATTTTTTAAAAACTACAAGCCTGTTAAACAGAAATATGGAAATCTAGTGTGAATTATAAACACACTTATCTCACCAGTTTGGTCTTCTTTAAAATATTGCATCCAAAAACACAACCGTCACTGAAGAAAACAACCTTAACTAGGACATTCGCTTTCGGGAAAAGTGCATATTGTGAAGCATTCTACCCTTGAAGCTCCCATAAACAATTTATTTATTTTCAAAATGTTTCTCCTCTCACACATCTTTGTCTAATTTGAAGTCTTTTTACTCGCTTTTTCTTTGTCTAACACTGTGAAGTGTAAAAATTTGAATCAGCACACTCATGTGTGAGGCCTTAAGTTCTTTTGTGCAATCTCAATAGAAAATCTGAAGTCTGTATGAGGAATCTTTAAATGATTCTATCAATGGGAAACCTCGTCATACTAAAATTTGGCGGTAGTGAAATCCGATCGACAATGCATACAAATTTACTCAAATTTAAGTACTCTAGTGAATTATCCATCATTTTACAACTAAGTCTAGTAAACTTCTTTTTTGAAAAGTGGAGTTGGATAATTTCCATGTTCAGTCTACAGATGTTACATGCTTTTTTCCCATTGATTCTTTCACAAGTTCATGTGTTTTGAGCATCTGCCAAGAAATTCCTACCTACTGCCTTTATCTGACGAGAATTCTACTTCGAGAGTAATGAGATGAAAGTGTCCCATATTCATCGCTAGGTTAGCAGTAACGGACAATACAGAAATTTGAAAAACGTTATAAACCGTTGATGCATTTCAGCTATATGACGAAAAACATAAAGAGTGGCGCAGGATACGATTGAGGTCTATGATGTGCACCTGCTTACTAACAGGCATCTACACATTTCATCAGTCATAAAAATTTAAGCACAGCTTTTTATTAATTTCTGAATATTGTGACAACAGGACATGTCAATACACGTTTGTACCTTGGAACAACAAGTATAGCACAAAAAGTGCCTCACATGCTCAATAAATCTATACACTTTTAGTATGAGTACCTTCAAGAAGCAACCATAAACGTTATACATAAGGAAGTTACCTTGAGATTTGACAATCAAATATGGAGTTGCAGTTTTCCATAGTTTCTTGAACTGCATTTCGATCAGCGAAAGCCTCAGACGACTAAACAATTTCAGTGAAATCAATCATAAAACTAACATGGAATCCGAGTTTCTCCAAATAGTGAGAAGTCCCATTGACAAAACTACCCTCATACCGAGGACCAGCCTTTATAATTACTGCAAGGATGATAATAAGTCGGAAGAACAAACCTCCTATTGCACACTGACTCCCAAGTTTATTCTGTGAGGCTATCCGAAGACCATTAGTTAATTTCGTGATCCTGGTTTCTCTGTCTTCCAGGAAGGAATTACATTGTGTACCGGTCCTCTGGACAATCACATCCCTCAAGGAAGTTTTTGTAATGTCCAACTGGTTACTACGGACACTTGAGGAGAGGCGCCTAACATATTTCTGAACACTGGTAGTCAAGCGCATGACTCTTAGAAGCGGCCTTGTGAAGCGGTTTTCCTGAAGGTCAGTTGAAGGTCAACCGCCAAAAGCTTCAAATCTTGGATACAATATCGATTTTACGGGCTTTTATAACCTAACCGATTTCCTAGAGCTTTTTCTCGTAATTTAAGGAACAGACTCAATGGGTTGGTGGATTTCAATAAACTAGATCCACTAAATCACCTGCTATGGCTCTAGTGAACCCGATTAGTGTTTGTGTTCAGAATCGATAGTGTGAGCCTAGGGAACTGATAGTTTTAATCTCTATCATCTACTCTCAGGGCCTTTGTTCTCTTTTTACGGTCAGTTTCAATGTTTCACAGTAAACCTTCCCTCTTAGTCTCACAACTGATCGCCTTTCAGGTCTGTATATTTTCTCAAGGACATATAAGTCTTCACTGAGCGTTACGGGTGCCACCGTGTGGAAGACCTGAAGTACAGCGTAGGCAGGTTTTAGAAAAACCGGGGGCAACAGTTGGCGGCGTTCTCCCTGCCTGCCATTTCTTTGAAGTTACAGTATCTGAGATCTTGAGCCCCAAGTCTTTTTCCGGGGATACTTTGGTGGTAATGCGGTTGCTGAACTTGTGTTTGAATTTGGCCGTCTTTGCCCCTTGGGTACTGATGTGCATTGTTAGCCGAAGCCACTTTCCGAAGGCAAGAGTTCTAATAGCCCCAGGTCATCTTGGAGTGCTGTACAGTTGGCATCTTCGTCTATTACCTATCAAACTCTAATGAAATTAGTGAGAAGGAGGATGCGTGAGAAGATTTTGTGCAGCAAGCCCTTAACGAACAAAATGAAAGGAATGGCCCAAAAACTGTCGAAAACCATAGACTTTCAACAAAGATGCTAATTCGGGAAAATATCCTCCCGGCACGCGTTAGCGGCATAAGCAAACGGCTGAAAAGGCCGTCTGTTGTACGTTACCGGCGTAAAACAGAGGGTTGGCTACCCCCAGCAACGAACGAACACCATAATGACCCATTCGTCCATCTTCAAGAGGCTGGCGGCAAAGCGATCCCAAAATTTCGGAGAAGGCATCCCTTCCTCAACTTGGGTCTACGTAAACCTTTTCATTGGATTTTCCTCTTGGCTGATGTTTCCGTGCTCATCGCTGCCGTAGACTTATTGAACCACTATGACTTACTCGTAGATGTTCATTGAACAAGACTGGTAGGTTTCAACACGAAATTATTTATTGGCGGCGCCACCAGTGTAGGTCTGGGTTTGCCCACAGTTAGAACTAAACACTCAGGCGATACATCTAATCTAACAGTTTAAGAAAAATATCCGGAGTTACAAAGACCGAGGCATACTCTGCGGTGTATAACCGGCAGTGTTACACATCGCGTCTCAGCCAAAAGTCCACCTGTGGCATTCAGTGCCCGCTGTCTAGGCCCTGATAAGCTCAGGATGGAGAACAGCGAATTCGATCACACGCTTTAACCAGGCATCATAAAATCGTCAGACAAGCCTTGGGTATCCCACTGCATTTGGTTCCCAAGGATGATGGCAACAACTTGCGTTCAGCCGGCGACTGCCGACAACTCAACGCTAAAACAACGCCAGGCTGCTACCGGATACCTCGCATCCACGACTTGACTGCAGAATGAACAAATTCCCCAATATCGATTTGGTCAAAACGTACAACTAGGTGCCTTTTGAAGTAGAAAATATCACGGAAACTGCCATTACAACTCTTTCTAGTTTTTATGAATTCCTGCGCATGCCTTCTGGTCTTCGGAATACAGCACAAACACTCCAACGCCTTACGGATGGTGTCTTCCGTGGTTTGGATTGGTCAGTGTCTACATCGATGGCTGTCTCACCCCGAACACCTGGCTCCGCGTTCAGTAAATTGAGAAAGTATGTTATCGCTGTCAACAAGCAGAAGTGTGAAATAGGAGCAGAATGGCTCAGTTCCATTAAGCCTACTGTTGACAACAAAGGTATAGGCCCATTGACAGATAAAGTGGCGGCCACCATGAACTGCCCAAGGCCGACCACCGTAAAGCAGCCTCGTACTTTCAATGGCCTGGTAAGTTGTTACCGAAGGTTTATTCCCAGCCGTGCCACCATTTCGAGACCATTCACAGATCTTCTTCAAAGGGCTACAAAGTGCAGAACTCTGGATAACACGACTAGACTTGCGTTCTGTAGGTTCGAGGAGGCCACCTCAAATGCAATCAAGTTAGCGCACCACAACCCCAATAATCCTTCGGGTATTGCTTTTGATGCGTCTGATTCATCAACCGGAGCAGTTCTGCAACAGCTGACCGACAATCAACTTCAATAAACCGCTTCGGAGGTGTTGATCATGTGGGACTGGCCTGGTGTCAAAAGGAGATCTTGAGCTGCACCACGAGTTGTCGTCCACAACTCTCAAGCTGCAACTGTGTCAAGTAAGATCTGTTTGAGGTACATTTTTATGTGATGTCTCCGCCGGCCAACCACGTCCGACAGTTCCCGAACAGACGTCGACGCGACGTCTTTAATACGTTGCATAAACTGTCTCACCCGGCTGTACCAGTCACCATAAGGATTATCGCCCAATGTTTCTTCTGGCCTGGACTGAACTAAAACGCCAAACAGTGGGCTGAGCAGCGTGCAGCTTGTCAGAACCGCGGTCACACAACATACGAAAAGCCCCAGACATGTATTTCGACCACATCCACAAAGACCTCTGCCAGAATCTAATGAATGCACTTACCTTTTTACCAGTGCTAGTGGTTTTCATAGATGGCCCGAAACAGCACCCATTCGGGACAATGTTGCTTAAACTACAACTCATTTTTCCGCCGGAAGATGAATCACAAATTCTGGATGCCGTCCCTAAGCAACAGCCGACAGTGGTCACTAATTCGATCGTGAGTTATTTCACGCTTTAACCACAATTTTAGGTTGCACTCAGTTCCGAACAACAGCCCACCATGCACAAGAAAATGGCACGGTAGGACGTTTCCATCGACTGCTGAAAGCTTCCTTTTCATCAGTGAACACACCTCGGTGAGCCAAGGCTCTACCTTCAGTCCTTCATGGTATCCGGAACGCCTTGAAAACCGATGGGGGACGTGCGTCGACGGAACTCGTCTATAAGACGACCCTTCACCTATTAGGTGCGTTCATTTTTCTCTCAACTTCCCCAAATGTTGTTGATAGGTTATCTCACGTGAAATGGCTTGCAAACGCAATGCGTTCAGTTAGGCATGCGCTATTTTAATTCAAACAACCGACGTCTTCGTTGACCCAGTTTGACAAGGCATCTCACGTTTTCGTACACCACGATGCTGGTTGTCAGCCAATCTGACCAATATGACATACTCGTAGACCGATGAGGTAATCAAGGGAAGGAAATAATGAACTAATTCAGTGGTTTCATCATTTTGTATGTGACTTATGTTTCCTCATGCAGCCTTCTAGTGACCGCAACGGGACAACTTCTGTCCTATGCAACCCAGCTGAGAAGTATTAAGTACTCAGATGAGAAGGCACAAACTTTTTCATCCAAATCTGAGTTGAAGTTAGTTCGCATAAAAAGGGTTTTCGTAGTTTACCGGCTCTCAGACCTGCCTGGAACAATACCATTACTTCAAGTTGTTCCCAAGATATGGTAGTGGCAAGCAGATGGCACATGTACTGTTTTGAAGTCGGGGCACAAACACTCTCTCAAGGAAAAGGCACCACAAATTTCTCGCAGGATTCTCAACGGGCCTGGAACTGAAGTGATATTTAAACCTGCAAACTCACTTAATGACAAGATTCGATTGCTTTAGGATCACATAGAACCAATTTAGTAAAATAATCTAGTCTATCAAATTCCATGTAATCACTGCGACGTCAAATACATAAATTATACCAGCCAACAGCGGCTAGTCACATTATCGGAGCGCAGGGATTTAGCCGAATATCGAATGACAGACGCAATGGGATCAATAACCTGGGCAAATCTCGGCTGTTGCAGTGTGTGCATTGACACACAGCCACACAGTAGGGCTGGATAAAACCACCGTACTTAAGTCCAGACTAATTGGGTAGAGAGAGATTGATTAGTGAACCTTCGCTAATCAAATCAACCCCCAACAGACGTAATATGGATGATGCACCGCCTACCCCAGGGATATGGAAGATTTTACCACCAATAAAACAGAGAATACGGGAACTATGGGGGTGATGAATCGAAAGTGGTGCGGCTACATTGATATGGTTATGGGTAGTAATTTATGTTCGAAATGTCACCAAGCAAATCATTCTGTATCACTGTATGCTTTATATCAGACAAACAAATCTAATATGGAGTCACATTATTCTACGGTGCCCAAGTTTCACACTTAAGTCAGTGAAACTTATACAAAATCTAAAACCCGTCTTATCACAGGAACTGGAATGAATAACACTTAGCGCCCAATGTAGGTTTAGAATACCTGTTGGCGCTATGTACTTGGTCACCCGCCAGAGAGTAACACGTTAAGTATTCCCTTGGAATTCGGCGGTTTTAATGTCGGAAGTTCTGGCGTTTACCGGTCAAGTAATTTTCAGCCAAACCGTTCTAAATTCCAATTAAAATAAATTGGGCACAACCGAAAATAAGGCACATCACAAAATTATAGCTTTAAGGGCTTTCGAGAAGTTTCCTCTTACAAGAAATGCATTGAAATCGCACATTTAAGCAAGATGTGACGCAGGACCGAAATGTGTATAGTCATGAGTTTCATGTGAAAGGTTTCTCGCCATCGTGTTTTCCAGCTGGGACGTATTGTGTCAAAGGTTGCGCCCACGTGACCACTGTAACTAGCATATGAGCTCTCATGCTTGCCATAGGGTGAGACAACATCTCCTAAACTCATTAAAGACGTCCGGAGTCACCTAAAATACCTTCACAACTAATCATGGCACGCTAAACACTCGAGAAAAACCATGTGACCATAAGCATGAATTACAAGTTGACTAAAGAGCTTTCTGGAAGAGCGTGGTACATATCAAGGCTGATGAAAGTGTACACAAACTAATGCCTTTCTTACGCACTCCACCTGACAGCAAATCTATTAT